AAAAAAAAAAAAAAAAAAAAAAAAAAAAAAAAAAAAAAAAAAAAAAAAAAAAAAAGGCAACTGTAAAAAAACCCAAACACAACAGCAAAAAATCAACACATACAACCCTAACTGTGCTCCCTCCACATATGTAGGTAGATATGGGTGATAAGAGCTATTTAAACATTACAGTTGGTTTGCCCATTGCCCTTAGGATGTGCCCTTACTGTACACCTCAACAGTTTCTATTCCTTGTTTAAGGGGACAAGCTTACTATCAAACTTTTTGTTTTGTCAGATTCAGAATTTTTCCTCAGTGGATGTTTTGATGGAACAGGATAAATATCCTTTTCATTTTTTTATGGTGTAGTGTGTAGAAACTAAACACGTAGGAAGATTACTGGATTTGAATCAGCAGCTCTATAGCCACATATTGAGATCAAGTAAAACTTGCAATGTTTACACTTGTAGTAGCGCAAGGACCTTCCCCAGGCTTTGCAGTTGGCTTCAGAGAGAGCACTGTCAGTCACCTGCTTCCTCCTTGCTGCCTCTCCACATCCATTCTTTTGATTTCTTTGCATACAGTTGCTGCAAGTTATTTGGTTGCTAAAGAACACAGTGGTCTTTGGCCCATGACTTTTTTTTGCTTCAGTATCATGTTGGGATGGAACTACCCTCTTTCCCAAAATCATTTTGCAGAAAGCAACACTGCACCCTCAAATATTCTAAACAAGCTTTTGAAGAGACATTTGGAGTACTTCAAATCAGGGCTGCTTAACTGAAAGACAACTTGAGGCCAAGTCTAGACAGCGATCAATTTTAGACAAACTTCAGCTACCTATATATTTTCTGAAATAATGGTTATATGAAGGATAGATTAATGGAAATGTAATAGCCTTTAAATTTGTCTACTATCTCTAGCCATTTGTCAGATTTTAAATACTGCAGTAATAGCCTCAATTTATACTTGATTTACTGTTAATGATCTTTAAATTGCTTTAAAAGATGATATTATAGGCTGAAGTTTTCTGCTGAAGAAATTTCTTTAGTTTATTTGAAACTTTTTTTTATCAGTTATTAAATATGATCTTTAGCTAGAAATTTGGAAGTGTGTTTTTTTTTCATAGACTGGTGTGTTTTAGTTAATACAGTAATAAAATTTGTTTTTGAAGGTAACATTTTGCATGCTCATTTAATAGAATATTTTACTGATAAAGGATTGTAGGTTTAATTTCTTCTAAACTGGCTTCAGTAGTCTGTTATTGGTAGAGTGTTAAAATAACTGTGACTTCAATTTCCTGTTTGCATTCAGAAGGAAATGTGTTTCCCCCTCCAATCTAGAGCTACTAAATCTTTTGGAAAACCTTGTCGGAAATACCTCCCTGACTCTTGTTCTAATTAATGCATTTTTAAAGTACTTGGACAGTAACAGTTACCTTTCTTCTTGAAAACTTTCCGTTCCTTTCAGTCACCTGGAAAAATAACTGCAAGCAGATTGTGAAAGAGATTATTTCCTACAATGCTGAGTGAACTTAAAGTTATGTTCTTGCTTTCATAGTATTTGATGTTCCTCTTTCTGTTATATGCTAATAACGTAAACTTTTGTAAAATCTATTCAGGTGTAGAATTTGGTGCTCGAATGATCACTATTGATGGAAAACAGATAAAGCTTCAGATATGGGATACGGTAAGTAATAAATTGTAAAAATTTTTTAAACATATGGCCCCACTAACTTT